TTTCCGGCGACCATTTTTTCCGGCGAACGAGCACCCACCGTGTTATCGGTTAGTATTTTTGAGCTTTTCTTGTCATATACCATCGATTCCTTTCGTTTGGTACCTTTTCCGGTGACCGGATCTCCGTTTTTCTTTATTTCTCTATTTACGAACTCCGGCGACCATTTTTCTCGAAATTTTCCAAGGTCCAACGTCTCGATTTCGATTTGTATCTCCGTACTATCATTATATGCGTTGTGCTTGGATCACTACTCTTGCCGGAGTAGTCGTATTGAGATAATTGGGTTAGACTTGTGTGTTTCGGCACGTCTTGCCGGGCGTGCCATATATATGTGTGTTTTTGCCGGGCACCAGTAATCGTTTATGCGTTGCATACAAACGGAGCTCGTTGTGTTGGACCATGGCGGGGATCGACAAGGACTTCGAGGCTCGATTTTTGCACTTTCAGGTGAACATGTGTCTACGTCGAGTTTATGCATGCATGGTGACTACCTCTCCGAGACACACACACATAGCCTCTCTCGTTTCAAGTGCTTCAACGTTAAACCGTTCGGATGGCTCCATTTCACGCTCTATGGCCTTCGGCTGACCTCCTTTATTCCATCCGGACGACCATTATTGGACACACGGTGGTGACGACCACCGTGTCGAGTACGCATTTTCTTTTCCTATTTTCTCTTTTCTTGTTTGCTTTTTGTGTGTCTTTGTGTTAGTTCGTCTCGTCTCTTTGCTTTTTGTGTTTCGTTTTCATTTTTATTGCATGAACTTACGTGATTATGTGCCTTCTCCTATGCTTTTTGGTCAATCAATGAGGACATTGCTTTGTTTTAAGTGTGGGGGAGGGATTTTCATGATTATGCATGTTTAGGTCATGTTCTCTTCGTTTTTGTTCCTTATTTTTTCGTTTTTGTCGTGTCGTGGACCGGTTTTATTTGTTTTTATTGTGTTTGTGTCATCTCTCCCACATGAAACTTGATGTTTGTTCGAGAGCCGAGATAGCTAAGTGGTGAGTCGAGATTATTGATTGGTTTCACTATTAGCATTCATGTTTGATGTACTTGATGAATTTGACGGTTTCCCTTAATTGATTGATGATTCGGTTACATTGGAACTCACATGTGGATTAACGAAATTGTTTTGTCCTTTGTTTGTTCTCGATTGGTTGTCTTGAGGCATGCTTTCCTTATGTTCGATTATCGTTGTAAACGTATTATCTATGCACTTGTGGTACGTTTCGTTTGATTTGTGATGATTATGTATTGTAATTGTGATGTATCCCTGTGTGCCTTTCCCTAAAAAAAAGAAAAAAAAAAAGAATAAAAATGTGAGTTTGCGAGGAAGTACGAATTAGGCTCCTCTTATTCCGAGCCATTCGTAGATTGGGATAATGAGCCCGAGAAATCAGTTTAGGAAACTCGAGGAAACCCCTCGAGGTTAAACCTAGATCATCTCGTCTGGAAACCTCGTTTGGAAAAAGAAGCTCACAAATTAGTTCGTGGGAGTCGACAGGATTAGGCTCCTCTTGGCTCGGTTAATCTCCTAGATAGATCGGGTCAATGAGCACGGAAAACGGGCCTAGGAGACTCGGGGATGACCCTCGAGGTTAAACCTAGGTAATAATCGTCCTAACGGCTCTCATTTGGAAAAAGTGGCTCATTTAAAAAAAAAGAAAGAAAATCGGGGAGTTGGCCTATTGATCTCGTGCTTATTATTTCATGTTTTGTAGATCATTTATGGTTTTTGTACGTATATGTGAATGAGGGGGTTTGACTCGGGCGATCATTTGTGGAATGACTTGGGACGAGTTTTTGTTTCGTTTGATTCACTATGTGGGGACCGTGTCTTGGATTGGATTTTGATTTTGGGATAATCGGATGATAATGAGAGTGCCATTTTGCATGTTCGTTAATTTTGGCCCGTTCGATATATCTCTTCGAGCTATTTGCTATTTTGTTTGCTTGAGGACAAGCAAAAAGCTAAGTGTGGGGGAGTTGTTTGTTATGTTTTTGTGCTTATATTTATGTACTTTTATGTGTGTTCGAGTCGAGTCTAGGTTCGTTTTAGTGTCGACCGATCCATTTTATCGCATTTTGTGTGATTTTATATTTTCTTTTTTATTTTGTATTTTTGGCGTATCTTTTCTGTGCTCTCTTGGTGTATTTTCAGGTTTTTCCCGAGAATGTGGAGAAGAGTCGAATCGAATCCCGAGTAGTTTTGAGTCATTCGCGCGAACCAACTCAAACCGAGAGTTTCGAGCCTTCGTCGATGCGGACGCACATCAGGTAGGCCAACTCACGCGCACGCGGAACCAGCCGCGAGGGCGAGAGCACAGTGCGAACCTCACCCGTGCACACTGGCGTAGTCGCGCTAGTCGCCGCAAGCTCGAGAGCCGTGCACCCATGCCGCCTGCATACATTTGCGTGGTCGCGCTCGTTCCCGCGAGGTCGAGAGCTTCGCGTCCTGCCGTCGCCTAGCACATCCGCGAGCACGCCCGAGCTTCCGCGACCTCGAGAGCATCCGCACCGCACGCCCAACTCACGCTATGCCAATGCCTGCCCACCAGCGGCCGCGCCGCGAATCTTCATTCGCGCTCGAGAGTGCTGTGCGTGCGTGCGCCCGTGCAAGCCATCACTCGCGTTCTCGCGAATTTTACGGCTAGGTCGAGAGTGTCGTTTTTAATCTACGTTTTTTTTACTGTGTGTTGAGTAGGAGTATAAATATATTTTGTCCTTTGCATTTTGGGGATCATTCTCTCATTTTTTTACTTTTCCTCTTTTGGAAATTAGTTTATGTTTTATTTGTGTTCTCTAGATTAGTAGCTTATGCTATTTTTCAAGAGATTTTCGGCGACTTTGGTTTCGTTCAAGTTTTAAGCTTTTGACTCCGTTTTTCATCGTCTACGCAATGGGAGATTGAGTATTTAGTTTTAAAGCTCTTTACTTCGTTTTTGCTCCGGTATTACTTATAATGCTCATTAGAGTAAATTAGATTTGATTGATGATGGTGGAAATGCTTGAACTTGATTGCTTGTTTGAGTAGATAGAGCCGTTAATTACTTGTTGATCTCGGTTAGACGACTAGGGTTAGCAATCTAATGCTCGTAGCTCGTTTATTCCGTATGTCGATTGATTATCATCCCGTTATGGTTATGGCATGAGACTCCGGTAATCTAGTTTGCTAAATGCTCGCGATTTGATCTTGCTTTCAATTAATTGCTCGTTTTTAAGTACTCAATTAGTGTTAATCCACCATCCAATCAATTTCTTAGAATGTTTAGGATTTTATTTTCCCTCTTTGTGATTCGGACGATCATTTAGTAGACAAAGCTCCGAATAGCCTTCCTTCGAGATCGACCCGTGTCGGGTAGCTCGGTTATCCCTTGTCCATCAATTTTATACTAAACACCAACGTTGAACGATGTTGCCAACGTCTAACTACAGATCAAACATGTGATGTATATTTAACAGTGGAGGAATCAATTCTACATGTACTCAGGGATTGTCCAACTTCTAGAAAGGTTTGACAACATCTCGTACCGGCAGATCAATGGCTAGGCTTCACGTCCCTAACTCTAGAGGATTGGTTACTCCAGAACCTCACTAATGCCTTGGGACCCCAAATTGAAGAATGGGAGGTGGTGACCTTTGGAATGACAGCTTGGAGAATTTGGATTAACCGTAATCGAAGAATTTTTTCAAGGTTAAAGAATTAATGGCACTGGAGTTCTTCGGGAAGTAGCATGGTGGTGCGAATAAGCAATTCTATGCATGCGACTATTGAAGGTGAACGGAGGATTGGAGAAGTTGGAGGTGGACGTGAGCGGATTTTTGTGAAGTAGGAGTTCCTGCCAGAGAATTGGGTGAAGGTAAACTCCGATGGCTCTTTTAATTTGTCTACCGGAATGGCTAGTGCTAGGGGTTTGTTGCGGGATCATATGGGTAGATGGTTTCATTATGAATATTGATTTTTTCTATATTACGGGTGTTGAGTTATGGGGCCTTTTTCAAGGAATTAATTTGGTGTGGGAGAGGGTTTACCGTAATGTTCTTGTTGAATCCGATAGCCTTTGTGTTGTCTATATGATTCAAGAGGAAGAGTTGGATACGAGAATACACACGGCCCTAATACATGGTATCAAGAATCGGTTGAATAGGGATTGGAATGTGCGAGTGGGTCACATCTATAGGGAAACCAACTTTGTTGCCGATTGTTTGTTTGTTATTGTTGCACGTTGTCCTGGAGGCTTTCACTGACTGAGTGTTCTGCCAGCGGAAGCACAGAAAGGGCTCGAACATGATCTTGTCAGAGTGTCAAACCCACTACAAACCTAATCTCTCGTAACTAGGCTTCAACCTCATTTATTGTACCCCTAAAAATAAATAAAAATGCCAAACATCTCTTTTATTTTAAACCAAAAATCAAGCCACATACTTTCCATTTTTAGATGATAACAATGATTGATTATATAATTAATTGGAAACCAGTATATGTATAATTTTATAAAAAGGTTTGAAGATACCTTCTATTCATGGTGAAATACACAAGTTTAAAACCCCAATCAACTAAAAAAGAGAACAAAAACATCAAAAGAACAAGAAGAAAAACACACACACACACACACACACACACACACACACATTATACGTAACTAATTGGATATTCATATCCTTATTTCATTCACTTTTTATTGTCTTACTTAAGTCCCGTGTAGGACCTAATTCACTTATACATGTTGAAGGGGTTTAAACTTGGGGCCTAGTTTTTAATAAAGGTACTTCAAGCCTACTCGTTGTTCGGGCATGGAGCCGGGGCCCCTGCTTCGACAGCCAGCTCATCCATTCCATTCATTCCCGGTGAGAGAGCCACTGCCCCGGAGCTCTTGAAGACTTCCATCATTCCACGACGCCCTCCCGATTGACGCGCTTCACAAAATTTCATAAGGTAGACACCTATCATAAATTTCAAGAATGTTAGGGACATATACCTAAAAGATCCTAGCACATTTATTTCAATAAAAATGGTAAAATTAGAATTTAATTACATATTACCTTCACCGGCGGCGAGGTTGAAGTAGAGGTCGACGATGTTGGGGCAGTGTTGGAAGCACTCGTCAGAGCAGAGGCTGGCGACGAACCTGCGGTCGAGGAGGGAGTCAGACGAGATGCCGAGGGCTCGACGATCGACACCACAGGCTCGGATACACTTTTCGGTCTCGACGTGGTTGTTGAACTTGTCAGCCACGATCTCGGACGTTCCACATGTGTACTCATCCGACCCTGACCGAAGGAGGCGGCTCTCGAGCACACACCTCTTGCCGGTGGAGGACACCGAGAAGGCGCACAAATCCCGATCAAGGTCCTCGCACCGTAAGTCATTGTCACGGCCAAAACTAATCAATCCACCTATAAAAAAAATAATACGTTATATGTAAAAACAGGAAAATGTTTTACCAACAATGTTTATAAATGCGGTAGGTTTTTTGTTAGGTCAACATACTCATTTTCACAAATATGAATACTTTCATTAATAAATGTCAGACTATAAAAAACATCATAAACAAAAGTATTATAAAATACGACATTTGATAGTATAAATATGCATTTGTGTTCATAGAGTATGACAGTTTGAGCAGTTTGATGGTTAAGCTGACTCACACAATAATTTGTGGTATACATATGATTGTAAAACTTGTTAGGATGAAATGTGACTTAGAGATTTGATTAACTTACCAAGAGTGCCTTGCAAGGAGATGGCTAAGGCAAGTGCGAAGACCAAGACTGTTGAATGCGCCATTGGGTGTTAGGAGTAGCAAAACTTGGCTTATGCTTTTAGGGACTTTGAAGAGTAATAAGACAAGTGGAATGAGATGCTAATGCTAAGACATGCTATTTATAGAGGGTGGTGTGGTTATTAGGATTTACAAAACCAAATATTTAATTATTGTATTAAAAAAGCTAAATGGTCCTAATTTTACTTAGTTTTACCCATAGGCATATCTTTAAGTTTGAAATTTGTAAAGACTGCCATCCAATAGCAAAGAGAAAAGACAAAAAGTGACCCAAAAAAAAAAAAAAAAAAAAAACCGTTTATTGATTCTACTTGTAAATTCTTGATTTCTTTAGTTTCTTTCATAGGGGTTGCAAAGTTTTATGAATTTTTCACTTTTCTAATTTTAGAACCTTCTTTTGTTTTCCCCCTTATTAACTCTTTAGGATGTTTTTAATAAATATGCCAGAAGTTAGACTCAAACTAAAACAAGAAAAATATATCCATTGAATAACAATATTATTACATGATTTGTGGTAAAGAAAAATTATATTCAGTTGATTTCTCTTCTTTGAATCAAACATTGAGACTGTGATTGTTTGTGGTTTGCTTATTCAGTGATCCCTTTTTTGTTTCAGTGGTGGATAATTTAGTTAGAAATGAAAATTGAGCGCAGTGGTGATAGAATGATGATTAATGTTAAGTAGTAGGCTGTTGTAATATGCTGATTAAATTTTTTAATATTTATTCAAATAATAAAAGAAAAGTTTTTGTTTTAAGTTTTAAATACTTTACAAAAATATAATGTTATTTTGTATTTAAATGAAATATGTGACCTGTGGACTTAATGATCATCCTTACATTATACAACTTTTCTAATTCATATTATATAATAATCTTGACAGATAAATTTATTTAATTGATAAATATTATTATTATTATTATTTAATTAATATGATAGAATCTTATTTATTGTAAAGATATATAAAATTGTTTATATATGATGTGTCAATGTTACATCGAAACGCTCGTCAAAAGATAATTAATTTTGGTACATCACGAACAAGGCCATCATTTTTTTCAACTGAATTAGAATATTGGAGACTTTGTATTAGAATATTTACCTGTGAGTTGTCTTTCATCGTTTATATAAGAAAAATAGACTCACCTTATAAGTCTAGTGGGACCCCTCTTTCCACCAGATGGTTTTGGGATAGAATCCTACTTGGGCTTCATCTGGACTTTCTCTGTCTTGGTGCGCTTCATATGCGTGAGATCGCACCCGTTTGGCCTCCGTTTCTTACATGGTATCAAAGTCGGTTCTATTGGGACCGTGCGATGACGTACCCATTTTTCACGGCTCAGTTGGGCTTGGGCTCCCCGCTCCGTATATGGGCTTGGGGCTTCTTATGAATAACTCACAAGTGAGGGTGTGTATTATAATAGTCACTTGTGAGTTGTCCACATCGTTTATACAGAAAGATAGACTCAACTTATAAGTCTAGTGGGCCCATCATCCTTCCACCAATTGGTTTTAGGATGGAACCCCACTTGATCTTCATCGGGGCTTTCCCTGTCTTGGCGTGCGACCAGACTCATTTTTCTCCCGTTTCTTACATGGTATCAGAGCCGGTTCTATTGGGACCGTGCGTTGATGTACTCATTTTCGCCCATGTATTCATTTATGGGAGCTTGTTTCTAGTAGGACTTGGGGCACCCAGTTCCGTATATGAGTTTGAGCTTTCTTATTAAGGACTCAAAGTGAGTGGGCGTATTAGAATATTCACTTGAGAGTTGTCCTTCATTGTTTATATAGGACTAATAGCCTAATTTATAAGTCTAATTGGCTACTCCTCCTTCTACCAATTGGTTTTGGGATGGAACCTCACTTGAGCTTCATCTGAGCTTTCCCTTAGTGCGCTTTATCTGCGTAGGACCGCACCCGTTTTCTCCCCGTTTCTTATAGTTTGATCAAAGAATGAAGTATATATTAAGCGAAAAGGCCGAATTAGCCATGTGAATTTAACTTTCAACTGAATAATAATTAAGTTTTTTTTTTACTTCTATTCTCAAGAATCAAACTTCCACTCAATTAACCGTGCTATGATCATAATTAGCTCTATAACGATTCTTAATTAATTGAGGTTTAGACTAACCATTTGGTTGAAGAGCCAAATGACTACAAAATCGTGATTGTGATTGGTTGATAAACTGTTAAATGACGAAAAAGTGTTGTTGCTTTCAACGTAATCACGCGCAAGGCCATCATTGTTTTCAGGAAACTATGTTGCAACTTGGTGTAAAAACTTATTATGAAAATCAGGAAATTGATTAAAATGATCCTAATTGATACTATTTGATATATATATATATATATATATATTTTTTATTGCAAAGCGACAAGTAAGAATTGATTACAAAAGAACACAAATTAAAACGTGATTGTTTTGGATTACATGAAATAATGAGGGTCTTGATTTATAAAAAAAATATAAATTAAATATATAGTAATTAATAAAAAAAAATTAGAATTCTAAATTATAATTGCAAATAACTTGAGATTATTCATGGCCATCGCGAGACAAAAGTTGTGGCGGATTTTTTGGCCTCCCTTGCGGCCAAGGGAGCGGGTGGCTTACACCGGTTTGAACGGCCTCCGTCGGGGGCGGGTCCTTGGTTACAACATGATCTCGTTGGAGTGGCTCACCCACATCGGATCGTGATCGAGCATTAGCTTTAGCTTCGCTTTCCTTTTCCTGTACCAAAAAAAATAATAATAATAATAAATGGGATACATCTAGTTATCGTTTTCAGTTATCAACCAAAAGTATGTCTTTTATAAACCGTGACTTTTTCTGGACTGTTAACAAGTTACTAACATTGATTGATAAAACGCTCTCTCAATTGAATTTCTTCTTCCACAATATTATTTAACATAAATAAACTATAAGAATATTGGTTTGGCGTCGTCCGACAAACTTATGACATGATTGATATAATGGAATAAAATTCGATAGGAATGAAATGAGTTGAAGAATGTAATGAATGTGGGAAATGAATGAAACAAGTTTTTTTCTATTAATGTGTTTGGTATGAATAAAGAATAAGACCTAGAATGAAATTATCATTCTATATTATCATTTGTCACTATTTCATAGAAACAATATTTATATTAATGTTATTTTATATTTATGATAATAATAAAATTATTTTATTTCTTACAAAATATACTATATTTTAATAAATATATTTTCTTATTGTTACACTCATCTATATTATATAATAAATTAGTGAACTGTGTATTCATATACATATTGACTAATATAAATATATCATTACGTAAGCCCCTATAAGCATACGTAGTTGAATTAATTTTTTATATTATAGTCTATTCATTAATAAATATATAATATATATGATGAATAAAAATAAAACAATATCTTTTCAAATTATTTATAAATGCATTTTTTTCAGTTTTATTTTTATATAAGATGGTTTAGACATGTGCGTAGAAGAGACTTCAAGACTCCGACGAGGTGGATAGAAACATTCGAATTAAGAACCAAATTAAAAGAGAGATGTGTGACCTAAGAAAACTTGGAAATAAACAATAAAATAATTTAAACTATTTAAATATGAATGATGATATGTGTTTTTATCGAGCACTATGGCGAGTTGCGATCCATATAGCCGGCTTTGAAATTTTAACGACTTGTTGTTGTTGTTATATAAATACTTAATATATTTGATTAAAATATGAAATATAAATAAAAATAAGTTTTAAATTTTTTATTTAAAATTTACTTTTTTAAAATAATTTTATTTAATATAATTTAATCATGATTTGTGGTATATGACATATAATTATTTGTTATTATCATTTGTTAATTTTATTGGTTGAAAAATTGATTCCTACAAATATGAGAATGAGTAAACCTTGCATTTGTTGTGGAATGACTAATCCCATGGAGATGAGTTCTACCATTCATTTGAAAAAAGTATACTAATCATGGGATAGGGAATGAGTGAAAGAATTGCCATTCCATTCTCATGTCATTCCCTCATATCAATCATGTCATTAATGTTTTCTATAAGATTTTTTGTAAGGCAGGCATAATAAATTAAAGAGAAGTGTTATTTTATTTGTGATTAATTAAGTTATTAAAATTTATTATTAATAATATATGGTATATATTTGTTGTAGTATATATTATGGAGTCCTAAATCTTTAGAAGAAAGATTACATAATATATATCTTATGTATATTTACTTACCATGTATGTGACTTACATTATTGAATTTGATTCTATGTCATAATTAGTTTTCTTTTTCTTGTAAGACAATGAATTATCTATACATGAAGGATCTTGGACGTTTAAAATCAAGGAGGATTTGGACAGATCCACCGCAAGATTATCTTAGATTTAGAAGATCGGCTATTTTAGGAAATGGTATTTCAACACTGTTTTTGAATTGAACTTTTGAAGATCTCCGAATCCATACACGAATTCTACTTAAAAGAAATTTACTTTAAATGAAGAGAGATCACGTCCACGATATGAATGAAGCCATTGGGATGGAAATCAACCTAACATGGAAATGAGTCAATGCATGGGAATGAGAAGTCTCACCTTTGAGGAGTTTGTATATATATGTGATCAAAGACTCATTGAAGACGATCAACACTTATTGTATTATTATTTCAGACTTCTTTGAGTGTTTGTGAGCATTTTTGTTTCTTTTATTCGGTTCACTTTTTAAGTGTTTTTACACAGGTGAAGAACTGGGTTTGTTTTTCCTTACAAACACTTTGAGTGCTTCAGGATTAAGACTATGTTTGGTATGACTAGTTGTTTGTAGTATTTTTGGGCATGTAGTAACCGAGCTACTTGACTCGGGTCATTCTCAAAGGAAGGCTGTTCGGAGCTTCGTTCACTACCTAGTCGTCAAAGTCACATAACCGAAAACAAAGTCCTACACATTCTACTCGCTTGATGGGGTTGGATTGCACGAAAATACGCTAAGCA